ACAACGACTCCAGCTATGTTCTGCTTGAAGCTTAACCCTTACAAATTAAGGCATCATTTATCACCATGAATTCTGTAAATTACCAAGTGCACACCTCCATCCTAAGAAGACCACAAGGCCCTAGAACACCTGAAAGCAAATATTTATATCATCTGATTTCTTTCTAGGAAAGACAGACAGGACTTACCACTAACAGTTTCTGGTTTGATAGGAGGCAGGCCTTTTGTTCTGCGCTCTCTTTCTCTCTCTCTCTCACGCTTTTCCTGGGATCGAGACCTAGGAGAATGGCGGCGCCTGTCCCGAGATCGGGAACGAGAACGACGATGGCGTGATCTTCGAGTCCGAGAACCAGACCTTGATCTTCTCCTTTTGGGTGATCTGGTATCAAACAAAAATGTTAATGTACTAGACTGCTTACTAGCTACTAGGAATTGGCATGAAACTGCATTTTTGTGGTTCAGTTTATTTATTTATTTCTTTGTTTGATTTTTATCCCGTCCTTCCCACCGAGGCAGGCTCAGGGCGGCTTACATGAATAGCATAAACAATTATACAAAGATAAAACCATTTAAAGCAGTTTAAAACATAAAGTGCTAGCTCGTTGCAATTAAAACATTAGAGATGGCGGCAATGGTTACTTTATTCTTCAGTTCTCGACCTTCGTCGTATATATACGACTAGCACAGGCAATAATGGTGGAGTTGGGCGTCTCTTTAATGAAGATGTAAATAATAATGATAGTATTGGTGGTGGTGGTATGGTGGCGGCTTGTAGACAGGCCTGTTCCCAAACTGAACGAGTTCGTATTGGTTTGTGAGCCATTTAAAGTTTAAACATGAAAAGTGGTGGGGAGCAGAAAGCAGGAGTTTAAATGGCTCTGAGCCATTTAACCCCCAGCCTTCTGTTCGCCACAACTTTTGGTGGTGAGCAGAAAGTACGGGGTAAAATGCCCCCCCCAGCTATTTCACCACCTGTTTTCTGCTTGCCTTCAGGCGATGAAATAACCGGGAGGCATTTCACCCCCTGCTTTCTGCTCACCAACAAAAGCTGCAGCAAACAGAAAGCTGGGGGTGAAATGGCCCAGAGCCATTTAAATCAATCAGCTAAGCCATGCAGAGCTTTCCACCACTCAGCTGTTTTTCATAAAGAGCAGAGAGCAGGGTTTTTAATGGCTCAGTCATTTAAACCCCTGCTTTCTGCTCTTCACAAACTGCCACGAACTGCATCAAAATTCATGGAAGTTCATGGCTGCTCTTAAGTTCACAATTTGCAAACCATGAACCGCCCAAAATTTGTGATGAACTTAGTTCGTGAGCCAGTTCATGCCCATCCCTACTAGCTACCAGTGAATTCTCCTCACTTCAACATGAGAACTATTAGTGTGTGAAGGAAGACACCCCACAAGCAGGTCTTATCCTTTAAGAGGTATATTTCTAGCTGCCACTGCAAATCACCCTCTCCCAATCTGAAATTGGTTTGAAATCCCACAACCCAGCCTATTGCTCCCCCAAAAGTCTGCTTTGCTGGAATGGTAGGCAGTTATATGGCACCTTTTATGTTGGTGGTTTCGGGGAAGAGTTAAAAATGACCTGGTTTCAAACATTTCCAGGAATCAAGGCATGCATAGTTCCAGTTTATATACTACCAAAGAGGAACACTTGAACAGTAATTCACAGTGAATACATTTTCACATTGGAGCCTTGGGAACCAATTTGTTTGAAAGCATGGCTTCAGAACAAAAAGTGTAAGCTCTTAGCATACTGAAATCACAGAACATACAACGTTCCTGCTTGGGTTTACTACAGGTACTGGGATTATCTACACTGCTTACCTTGATGCAGATCTAGATCTTGACTTTCTGCTCTCATGCCTCTTTACTTCTTGAACAGGAGGTTGATCCACTTCCATTTCCTAAAACATTCAGCAAATATTTATAATCATTACCACAATTTAATTTTCAGATCTGTTTCAACTTGAAAACTAGATAGTTAACAGTCATGTAATCTGAACTAAACACGTTGCTGTGATTTTATCTGACAAAGAAACACTGTGATAAAAATGACAATAACATTTAATACATCCCATGAACATCAATTTGTATATCAATTAAAACTTTAAAATACTGCTAAGGAAATTTTAACATTTTCAAGAAAAAGTCCAACATTCTCAATGAGCACCCGGTTATACACTCATTTCCACCAATCTTCCCCAGGAGAGTAATCCTATTGTGTTGCAAGGTGTCAGCCTCTTGATACCGCTTAATTTCTTTTTTTGCTTCCTTCAAATAGTTACAGCTTAACTTCTTTTTTACTTTCTTCAAATTATTGCAGCTTAACTTCTTTTTTAATTTCCTCAAATTATCTTCCAGTTCCATTTCAAGTGTTTGAATTAGGAGCAAGCCAGTTAATTAATTTCTAGTAGTAGCAACCAGTCCTTTTTTTAAAAATCTGGCTAGAAGCCTTTTTATTTTCAAACTGGCTGGCAATTGCTCTCTATCTCAAATTGCTGGCTCAGTTGCTCTCTCATAGTTTATATGAGTAGCATTTCACAATAGGAATAAATACTTGTCCATTCCATCTGATAAAGAACTTTGCACATTGGCATTTTCCACATTCATTATCAGGCCAATAAAAGATCTTGTATTACAGGTGTTATGTAGAGATCAGAGGAAATAGCTACACCATGGCATCCTCACTCTCCCAATCCTACTTTTACATCATGAGTGATCCATGCCAGTATTACACATAATTCCCAGTTGGTTCTAGAGAGAATAATTTCTACTTAGGAAGGAGAATGGAAACAAAAGCACCACCCATTAGAGCTGAGCAGGAGTGGGGGGTAAAGGCTGCATATATTACATAGAAGGTATTTCCTGTCAATTCTGCTTGATGCTGATAATGTGGAGGCCCATCCTTATTCTCTGGCAAAAAGGACAGTACTTTGGCATTATAATTCAATTATGCCAACTATACTACAAAATAAACAGTGTAACACCTATCAATGCTATCCACTGGCTTCAATGGACATAAAAAGGTATAACTCTACTTAAGATGGCATTGTATGTTACCTTTTCAATAAGGACTAAGTAGCTGAAGTGCAACACACTAAAAAATTCCTTCACATCTAAGTATACAGATTCTCATGCACAGAAGTGATTATGAAAACATAATGGGTCCAAAGGACTCCCTGTGTGGTTGCTCTAATTGCTGGAAGAAATCTAAAGTGATAAAGAATTGAACACAAAACAGAAATAACTGAATAAAAAAGAGAAACGATCCTGGCCACGCACCATGAAATTTGGAAGCAATGTTGCTCTTTTACAAGCAAGCCACATATGAATTAAAGATAGATATTAAAAGCTCTTCACCTGCTGATGTGCTTTCTGTATATGGGATTCACTTTGTGCTGTAAAAGAAGGTTGGAAAGATGGCTGCACTGGAGGCGAAGACTGTATCACAGGCTGAGCCATGGGAGGAAACTGTGGTGTAGGTAGAAGGCCATAACTTGGCATTTGACCATTTGGAGGGAGAGGGACCTTTTAGAAAAAGAATATACAGGCATTTTTTCATTCATTTCAAATCAAGAACAACTTCTAAAAGAAATAAAAACATAAGAAGAGCCCTGCCAGTGTTACATCTAGTCCACCATCATGTTTACCACAATTGCCCACCAGCTGCCCTAGAGGACCAACAAATAGGACATAAGGGACCAAAGCGTCCCCTGATGCTGCCTCATAGCACTAGTATTCAGCACTAGTATTACTGTCCCTGAATGTGGAAAGTCCCTTTAATCACCATGACTAGCAGTCAGTGATGAATATTTCTAATGAATCTCTCTAATTGCCTTTTAAAATCATGAATGCTCATGGCCATCACTTCATCCACTGGCAGCAAATTCCACAATTTAATTACTCATTAAGTAAAGTAGTACTCCCTTTTGTCTGTCCTGAATTTATTGTTCACCAACTTTTCTGGATGGCCCTAAAAGCTACTATAAATACTGAGAGAGTGAAAGAGAAATTTCTATGTCTACTTTCTCCTCCCCATGAGCAATTATACAAATATCTATCAATCTAAATATTGAGTTACTAGGAGAAAGCCCCGTTGCGGAAATGAATGCAACGAGGTCTAGAAAGAGGGCCTGGGTGAGTGCGGGTCCTGGTGATGCACCTTGGCAGGTGGGCAGGAGAAACAAGGGGGAGGCCTTGAAAGGCCCCCCCGCCTCACCTGCACCGGCGAGTGGGCCAGGAAGGGGCGGGAGGGGGCTCTGGGAGCCTTCTCCTGCATCTGGAAGGAAGGGGAGGGTTTGAAACCTACCCCCCTGCTGCCTTCCCGACCAGGGATGGGCAGGAGGGGACTCTGGGAGTCTTCTCCCGGTCATCTCCACAGAAGGAGGTCCCGCGGACTACCTGGGGCAGGCCACGCGGCCCAGGGGAGCGTGGCTGTCTCCCCCGTCCCCGAGGCCAGTTGGTCCCCCTGGGAAGCGTCCATCCCCGCTGGCGGCTTCTCACAAGACTGTGGGCGAGAGGCTGGCCGGTGGATCTGTGGGCGGGACCGAAGCGCTGACAGGCCAATGGCTGAAGGAGCGCATTTTATGTGGCCACCCCAAATCACTTTTATTAACAAGGAAGGATGATTACACAACAAAAATGATATAAAGCAATAATTCCCATACCTGGTGGTGCATAGGATCCTGTTGCATTCCCAGCATCCGTTGCTGAAACTGATCTATATTTGGGAGTTGTGGATAAACTGGTTGCTGTATGCCTTCACCTGGAAATCCACTAAGCAATGAAATTATTTTCAGTACCATTTTACTACTGAACATTAATACATATAGATACCTTTTACTAAATTTTATATTCTTATACTAAGTACCCAGTGTCATTCTATTACTCAGAAACAGTTTTTATAATTAATATTCAAATTTAACTATAGAACAGATAAAAACATGTATACCAATTTTTATAGAACACTGTATAAAATAAGGGTCTAAAAATTAAGAGACTTCTGCAATGTTACCCTGAATTTTAAAATCTGTGTGTTTATCGCAAAGCTTACAATGCTTGCTGAGAGACTGATGGAGAAGGTGACAAATCCTCTTTCTTCGACTCTTCCACGGCTTCTGGCTCATCATCATAGTCAAATCGATCTAGCAGCTTCTGAAACATATTACATTGAGCCAACTATTTTCTTCAGAAACTGTTTAACAGACACAATCAAACCTATTTATGAAAGTGACGGTGTAAATTTCTGAATATTTTACAACCTTAAACATAACTGTAAAGATGAGTATTTTGCCACGAATGCAGCAACTCTCTTCACTTTCCATATCTTCCTCATGTTAGAGAATAGCTATTTAACACAAGAAAGCAAGACTACACACAAGGAATTTAAAAAGGTAAGGGCAGAAATATTTTAATATGATAAAGCAGCAAGAGTGCACGCAGCCAACCTGCCTGGACATCCTCTTTCTTCCAAGCATAAACATGATAGTAGCCTTTTTAAAGAGATGAAAAAGACAAAGAAACCTGCATCCTGCCCCTGTGATTTTGTTCCATGCTAACAAAAACTGACCCATAACCGCTGTACATAAGCAGGCCTCTGCCTCACAAGTAGAGAACCACAACCACTGTTAAAACACAGAGTGAGTGCATGTAGTATGGCACACACCTGTTGCTCTTGTTTCAGAGGGACAAATCAGCTTCACTAAGAATTGTTTCTTTAGGTACTTGAGTACATTGTCAGGCTCTCAGGAGTACACTTGAATTCCACCAAAGCCAACACAACCCACAAGTCTGGTAAAGTACAGAGATTCCAAAACTGGGATCCAACTCAAAACCCAATTTAGAAGTTATTACAACATACCATTCCATCACAGGGAGCATACAGTGAGGCTATTACTCATTGTGTACAAACCAGTATGCCTGCTTCACTCTTCCCAGTGGCTTTTACTTGCTGCTTAGTTACACAGGATGTTAAGATAGTCCTTTAGTCAAACCTGAGCTCTCTGAGCTGCAGACCCATCTCTTTGGAATGGTCGTCCCGGAAGAGACAAAAGAGATGCCCTTTCTCCTGATGTTCAGAAGGTACTGTGAAAATACTCTTTTCCAGCAGAGTTTTTGACAATTGGGTATACAAGAAGGGGGACCCGTGATACTCGCGGGGGGGGGAGGAAGCAGCTGCAGGTGAGCCTTCTTCCCTGCCCCCCCATCCTCGGCACCCACGGCGAGGCCCGCGCCCCAAGCCTTCTTCCTGCCCCCCCCAGCACCAGTGGCGAGAGGCCTGAGCTTGGCCCGCCGAACTTTCTCCTCCCCCCCCGGCGGTGGCAAGGGCTGAGCGGCTTACAGCTGCTGGCTGGCCAAGTCTTCTCCCGCCCCCTCCCTAGCGGTGGCGCAGCGAATGCTCTTTTACTTTTGGGGGGATTTAAATATCCCCCACATATTTTCCCCAAGTTTTCAGATTTTTCTGCACATATGGGGATTGCCCCAAATGTGCAGGAAAACCTCCCTGCCCCCCAAGTGCCCCCGATGTGCTGATTTAGATATCCGCACAGAGGGGGCACGTTGAGAATTAGATATATAGATTTGTGATGGGCTGCTACTATATTATGCTGATTGCCATACCAAACATTTATGGGGTGCATAACTGCTTGTCAAAGTATCATCAATTCATCAACATATCTGATGAAGCAACTTTACAAAAGTTTATTATAAATTTTGTTAGTCTTAAGGTGCCACTGGGCTTCTGTTCAGTCACAGGTTGGGGTTTGTTTTACAGCTTTTATGTTGCCTATGTAAGTCTGTAGGCTGCCCTACAAAACTTATACCACTTTTTATGTTATAAGTATTTAAAATTAAGTTGAAGTATTCCTGCTCAAAACATTTCTTCACCTTATCAAAAGATGTCTTTTGCTCTGGTACTGGAAAATCATGCTTTTGTTCTGATGGTTGTGTTGTTGTAGTCTGCAACTGTGCAGTAATTGCCTGGACCTGAGTCATCATGTTGTTATCTATCACTGGAGACTGAGGTTTTGGAGGCTGCTGAAAAGTCTGAAGAATCTGTTGGAGCTAAAGAATAAAACATACATTAGAGACTCTAATTTTGGGTACAGCCATGAACAAATACCAAAGACAATATACAATAATTGCCTTTTAAGTAAAATGATGTACACTTTCCCTCCCCAACAACTTAACGCATCAGGAAGCCAACTTTACTGTGCCATGCATGAACTGTTAATGCATCTGCTATTGTGGCTGACTCTCTCTGTAGACTCAAAGCTAAAATGGAAGGCGAAAGAAAGAGAGAGGAAGAGGGGGAGAGAGGACTATAATGGACAGCAATCACAATGCTGTGGAATGGAAACAGTGATGCATTATGACTACAAGACGTGCATGTGCACACACACACAACCCTTAAATGAAGCACTACTACCAAAGTGCAACCTCCAGGAAGATCAAAAAGGGAGTCTGCTGCTCAGATGTTTTGAATGAAGTATTTGCCATTCGTCTCAGAGAAAACTTGTTTGGGTTCTTGGGGATGCAGAAAGACCCCTATGCTCATTCACTGCTTAACAACAAACTTTTATTCTCTTTTCTACTTTCCAGCTGTGCTGTATGATTCTGCTCAACAGCCAGTTCTTGAAGGAGGCAGCTCAACTTGGGTGGAGGTGGCACAACCTTCTGCTGGAAAGTCAGACCACAGAGAGATGGCATCCATCAGGCCATCCTTCACCCCAAAGCCAATCCCCTCCTCAGCTTCTTCTCCTTCTCTTTGCTCTTCTACCCCTTCCTCTTCTTGTCAACCTTCTCGCCCTGTCTCTGTCTGTTTTTTCTCAAACCCATCTTGGGCACTCCACTTCCTTCCCTACTCTTCTTCCTGTAATTTTAAATGTTTTAGCTGATATGATATGTTATGTTATCCACTGTTGTTCACCACCCTGAGTGCTGTTTACAGGGAATAGGTGGTATAAAAATCAAAGGCTGGAATGAATGGCTGAACCCCACCGCATCACCATCAGCTCTTTGCCCCTTCTGCCCATCTGTATCCTCTTCTGGGTGCAGTGAGCGAGGCTGGAGACTACCGCCAGGTTCTTGTGGAGCTGCCCACCAGGTAAAGACTGGCCTCTGGGGCCATGTTTGCTGGGCTGCCATGGGGCTCCCTGCTCTCAATCAGTGGGTGGGGGTGGGCCCTTGTCATGTAGGGTAGCTAGGACTGCCACTTCCCCCTCAGAGCATCCAAGAAACAAAGTACATGACTGACCAATCATATGTTATAGATATGCAACATCTGTAAGCATATACATCAAGATTAAATTGGCTTTATGGCCACTAGAAATTTTTCTGATAATACTAGACATACATTACATATAATTCAACATGGCAGGATTACCAGAACCCAGTCTCTCATTCTAAGCATCGACATGGCCAAACCTATATTTTTAAACTTCTAGAGAGAATGGGTTGTGGCCCTTCCTTTCTTAGAGCAATGCTACTCATTTCAACAATGCAATTAAAGATATTACAATAGGAAATCAGGAGTATAAGATATCACTTTTCGCCAATGATCTTGTTTTGTATATCTCATTTCCAGAGCAATCACTTCCTGAAATTTTAGGTATGCTTAAAGATTTTGGCATGATCCCTGGATTAAATATTAATTTATCAAAGACAAAAATATACCCAATATTTCTAAATCAATCTACCAAATTTAACATACAAACGTGCTACGAATTTGCATGGGTTAAAGATAACTGGCGTTATCTCAGGAATAAAGTCCCATTAGATTTGTCATCCATAATAGATAGTAACCTAGGAAATCTTTTTAGAGAAACTAAGCATCAACAAGACAAAATTTTATCATGGCAAGAACAGCTATCGACAGTTAAAAGTTTTATTTTACTCCATTTCTATTTTTTTAGGACTATCCCTTTTCCCATCCCTGATAAGACGTTGCATCACTAGCAAAAATTATTAAACCAATTTAATTGAGGAGGATGCAGAGCAAGAATAGCATTTTCAACTTTGTGCAAGCCCAGGCATCAAGGGGGCATTCATCTGCCCAACCTGAAGTTTTACCACTGGGCATCACTTTTGTCACAACCAATCTAAGCTGTCAATTGTAGTGAGCAGAAATCCTACCTTGTGAGCCAAAAAATCTATGAGCAGAAATGTGAGTGACCATAATTTAAAAAAAATAAATAAATTTAAGTTTAAAAACATATGAAGAAATGGAAAAAAGGAAAGAGAAAAAAGGGAGGGAAGGAAAGGGAGAAAGAGAGAGAGGGAGAAAGGGGAAGGGGAAAAGGGAAAGAAAGGGAGAAAAGGGAGTGAAGGAAAGAAATGGAAAGAAGAAGATATTGGATTTATACCCTGCCCTTCACTCAAAGTCTCAGAGCGGCTTACAAACTCCTTTCCCTTCCCCTCCCCACAACAGACACCCTTGTGAGGTAGGTGGGGTTGAGAGAGCTCTGAGAGAACTGCTCTTTCAAGGACCGCTTTGACAGAACTATGACTTGCCCAAGGTCATCCAGCAGGTGCAAGCGAAGGGGTGGGGAATCAAACCTGGTTCTCCCAGATTAGAGTCCGCGCACTTAACCACTACACCAAAGGGGGAAAAGGGGAAGAGGGGGAGAACTGAATGAAGGAAAGAAAGGGAAATAAATGGAAAGAAAGGGAGGGAAGGGGGAAAAGTGAAAGAAGGGAAAAAAGGGAAAAGGAAAAGGAGAAAGAAAAAATGGAAAGAAGGAAAAGAAAGAAAAGGAAAGAAAGAAAGGGAAAAGGGGAAAGAAATGAAAAGACAGAAGTGGGAAGAAATTGAAAGAAAGGCAGGGGAAAAGGGAAAGAAAGAGATGGAAAGAAAGGGAGAAAGAACGGGAAAGAAGGAAAACAAAGAAAGGGGAAATGGAAAAAATGGAAGGGGAAAAAAGAAATAGAAAGAAAGCAAATAGATGGGGAGAGAGGAAGGAAGGAAGGGGTAGAAAGAAGAAGAAAAAGGGGAAAAAGAGAGCCCCCCTCTACTGGAGCCATTCAGCCCTCTCTTTGCATTCCCCCTTCTGAGGAGGGGAGCCAAAGGGAGGGCTGAAATGGCTTCCTGCCCTTTAAAGCCAGAAGCCTTGCAAATCTGCCTGTCAGCTGCTGGCTTTATAGGGTGGGGCAACCATTTCAGGGCTCCCTTTCCCTTCCCCTACATTCAAACTGAGGGAAGCAAAAGGGAGCCTTTTGCTTCGCACCCTTTAAAGCTATCAGCTGGCGAGTCCACCTGCCAGCTACTGGCTTTAAAGGGCACGCAGCCATTTCAGGGCTCCGTTTTGCTCCCCCCGCTTCTAAACGGGGGAGGGAGGGAGCGAAAGGGAAGCATCAAATGTGTTCCCGCCCTTTAAAGCCAGCAGCCAGCGGGTGGAACCGCCAACTCCTGGCTTTAAAGGGCACACAGCCATTTCAGGGCTCCCTTTCACTTCCCTCTGCTTCTAAACGGGGGGGGGAGTGAAAGGGAAGCCTCGAAGATGTTCCCGCACTTTAAAGCCAGCAGCCGGCAGGTCCACCCTGTAGGTCTGGCAGGTCCAACAAGCGGGGCTGAGAGAGCTCTTTCCAGAGCTGTCCTTGAGAGACAGCTCTGACAGAACTATGGCTTACCTTAGGTCATCCAGCAGCTGCAAGTGGAGGAGTGGGGAATGAAATCTGGTCCGCACACTTAACCACTACACCAAACTGGCTCTCAGAAGAAGAGGAGATTGGATTTATACCTTGCCCTTCACTCAGAGTCTCAGAGCGGCTGACACATCTCCTTCCCTTTCTTTCCTCACAACAGACACCCTGTGAGGTAGGTGGGGTTGAGAGTAGTGTTCCCTCTAAGCTGAGTTAGTGTGAGCGAGCTCACAGTTTTTTAGCCTCCGGCTCACACATTTTTGTCTTAGCTCAGGAAGGATAGCTCCACAGCAAACTAATTTATACAGTAGCCAAATCGTTGGCTCACAACTTTAATGCCAGTAGCTCACAAAGCAGAATTTTTGCTCACAAGACTCCAGAGCTTAGAGGGAGCATTGGTTGAGAGAGCTCTTTCGAGAACTGCTTGGGAGAGAACAGCTCTGAGAGACTGGCCTAAGGTCACACCAGCAGCTGTATGTAGGAGTGGGGAATCAAACCCGGTATTCCCAGATTAGAGTCCACACACTTTACTACTACACCAAACTGGTGTAAACATTTTGTACCTTTAATTTAACTTTATTTTCAAACAAAAATGTTCCTCTTACCTGCTGTCCTTGTGTTGTCTGAAATAACTGAGCTACAGCTGCAAAGGCATCAGAACTGGGCAATTGTGGCACAGTAGGTACTGAATTAGAAGCAACTTGAGGAGGCTCAGATGGAATTGTTGTGGAAGGAGGTGGGGAACCTACAAAATAAAAGCATTTAAACACACTTTAAACACTTTGTACTGCAATGCAATTTTTTTTAACCAAACCCAGGGAGGTTGACTAGTGAACAATTGCAAACATGGGAAGGGGCAGTGGTTCAGTGAGAGAGCTTCTACTTTGCATGCAGAAGGTACCAGGTTAAATCCTTCAACCAGTAGTTAACGTGAAACATCTCTGCCTGAGACCTCACACGCACACTAAAATTCCCTACCTTCATTATTAGTGGTGTCTTCTGGCACTGAAGCGGCACTGCTAGCTCCTGCTGCCATATCCAGGAGAGGCTGAATTATTTCTATTTTAAACACTCCATTTTTCTGCCATAAATTGAGGACACGAACTATCTTACTCTGTTCAAATAAAAAAAGATGTGTCAATATAATTTTTAAAGTAGTTTTCTAATTGCAGTATAGGTGATTAGCAGAAAACCCTTCTCCCCCTGCACACACCTCTTCTGTTTGTACAGTTAGACCAGGAACACTACAGGGGGTTTGGACTCATGCACTTCCTTTCCCAACATTAAAAAATAAAAAATAAACATATGGAACCTTACAGTTTGGGCATTACCTTCTATTCACAGGAGGGGAAGCAAAATCATGAAAGAGTACATGAACCCAAGATCTGAACAAACAAGAGGGCAGAAGAATCATTTGAACAAGACAGTCGCATGAAAAAAGAACATGCGAATAACACAAGACAGCAAGCTATAGACAAAACCAGGATTCTATTTGGATGTTCTCTGCCCTGTTTCTAATATAATTTGCTCTACTTGGCAATTTATGGCAGTGAATGCTACATAGTATTGTAACAGATTTTTATCCATATCCAAGGAATTACCCTGTGCAAACCTGAATGTGTAACTGGACACAGAGCAATAAAACTCTAATTAGGATTGTCTTAAGTTGAACTGTCATTGAGAGAACAGTATACTTTATTTATTTATACTAAATTGGGAGGAGTATTTATACTTTATTTATACTAAATTCGGAGGGGTAGAAAATACGGTAGAAGACAGAGTCAGGATACAGGATGATCTTGACAGACTGCAAAATTGGGCTAAAAGGAATTTAATGAATTTCAATGGGGATAAGTGGCCCCGGTCACACGGCAAAGTTGCCGCGGGAGAGGCACAGAAGGTGGGCGGATTATCCGGGTGCGATCACACCCCAACATCTGGGAAGTGGAGCGCACCCGTGGCTTACCACCGACAATGCGCATTTAAAACCTAGTACCTCCAAGGTACTAGTAAATGTTAGCAACGGGCTGCCTCCAGATGCCGGTGGTGTGATCACGCCGGCGCGCGGCATTCCCCTCCGGTCCCTCGTTTACCTGCTGGCGCCGAGGGAAGGACCCGTCCTGTGCCGCCAACGCGTCTGATCGCGTAATCGCTGATCAAACTGCACCGGGGCAATTAGCCACGCCTCCCCCCCGTGATATCCGGCCCGTGTGCCCGGGGCCCAAGTAAAGTTATGCATTTAGGTAAGAAAAATCAAATGCATAATTATAGGTTGGGGGAGACTTGTCTTGGCAGTAGTATGTGCGAAAAGGATCTAGGGGTCTTAGTAGACCATACACTGAACGTGAGTCAGCAATGTGATGTGGTTGCTAAAAAAGCAAATGCGATTTTGAGCTGTATCAACAGAAGTATAGTGTCCAGATCACGTGAAGTGATGGTACCACTTTACCCTGCTCTGGTTAGACCTCACCTAGAATATTGTGTTCAGTTTTAGGCACCACAATTTAAGGAAGATATAGACAAGCTGGAACGTATCCAGAGGATGTTTACGAAAATGGTGAGGGTCTGGAGACCAAGTCCTATGAGGAAAGGCTGAAAGAGCTGGGTATGTTTAGCCTGGAGAGGAGAGGACTAGAGGTGATATAACCATCTTCAAGTACTTGAAGGGCTGTCATATAGAGGATGGTATGGAGTTGTTTTCTGTTGCCCCAAAAGGTCGGACCAGAACCAACGGGCTGAAATTAAATCAGAAGAGTTTTCGGCTAAACATGAAGAAGAATTTCCTGACAGAGCAGTTCCTCAGTGGAACAGGCTTCCTTGGGAGATGGTTGGGCTCTCCTTCTGTGGAGGTTTTCAAACACAGGCTAGATGGCCATCTGACAGCAATGCTGATTGTGTGAACTTAGACAGATCATGAGAGGGAGGGCAGGAAGGGTTGCCTTGGGGCTTAGTTCTTGTGGCCCTTTCTTACACACCCAGGGAAATGCTGATTGCCACTTTGGGTCAGGCAGCAATTTTTCTCCAGGCCAGTTTGGCCAGGAATCCTGGAGGTTTTTTGTCATCTTCTGGGCATGGAATAGCGGTCACTGCGGGTGTGGAGGGGAAGGTATTTGTGAATTTCCTGCATTGTGCAGGGGGTTGGACTAGATGACCTTGGAGGTACCTTCCAACTCTGATTCTATTACGGGACTTGGTACTTCAGCTCTCAGCAAAACACATTTTCTGAGTTAAATGTCTATTAAAATAAGACCCAATTCATTTTATTAAGCATGTAAAAAGTACATATATTAAAGATTAAGCATACAACACTAATAAATAGAAAACTTATGAAAACTAAATCAGTGATCACATTAAATCATATCTGCCTCCCTAAACATAAAGATCCCTTTAGGTACATACAAATTCACTGCCACAGGAGGTAGCGGCAGCTACAAGCATGGACAGCTTCAAGAGGGAATTAGATAAGCATATGGAGCAGAAGTCTATCAGTGGCTATTAGCCACAAGGTATAGATAGGAACTCTGGGGCAAGTAATGCTCTGTATTCTTGGTGCTTGGGGGGGGCAACAGTGGGAGGGCAACAGTGGGAGGGCTTCTAGTGTCCTGGCCCCACTGCTGGACCTCCTAATGGCACCTGGTATTTTTGGCCACTGTGTGAGAGTGTTGGACTGGATGGGCCACTGGCCTGATCCAGCATTGGCTTCTCTTATGTTCTTATGTTAGATGTGAAGTTCTGTATTTAGAAGGAAGGGGCTGCAATACACAAGAAATGATTACCAATATACAAGGCTTTCTGACCTGAACTCCAACCACAAAATCCTAATTAATTCTTCACAAAACAAGTATTTGTGTTGCAATAAGGATCAAAAACATACCAAATCTTAATTAAAAGTAATGGGAACTTATAGAGAATTATTTTTAACAGGCAGTACATAAATTTTGAAAGACAACTTATGGGTAATATCTTATCAAAATTATTCAAGAAAAGTTTCTCAAGACAAAATAAAAACTATTCCCTTTAGCAAAATAATAAAACTGTTGTCTTCTTTTAGCATGGTCAAAAGAATTACTTCCTTTAGGAACAATGTTGCCATCTTTTAATAAACTTGCCGTTTTCTAATAAGCAATTAAACTCACACAGGTTATTAACTACACGGGGAAACATGGATTAACATACGAGTGGTGTATATCATCCATATCCACTCAATGGCATGGTATTCTATCCAATGAACTGTGAGTGGAAAAAGTTTGCAGGCAGAGCTCTTTCAATCCCTCTCTCTTTCCTGTGCCCATTGAGAAGCTGCTCCAGGAGATCAGGAGACCCTCAGGAACAAACTAAGATGAAGTGAAGGGAACTGTGGCAAGTAGGTAGTGGAAATCCCTCTGTACTTATGCATGAGCTCTTGCTCAGTTCACAGAAGACCGGGCAAGAGGAGAGGGAGATGATTTATGCCAACTGACCCTTGAGCTGCTGCCCCTTGTACTGCATTCCACTCCCCAGGGTTTATTGGCCCCTCACAAGCAGCTTTTGGAGAGCCAGAGGGAGACACTATGCTGTGAACTCATCCCATTCAGTTCACTGCATAGTAAACAAAGTACTGAGAAATTGTTTCCACAATGCTTTAAGAACAAAGGAAAAGACCTGCTTGTGTACCTCTTCAGCAAGTGCCCATCAACCATATGACCAACAGAAAACCAGAAGTAAGACCATATGTAACCCAATCTTTTTTTCCAGAGAGAATTTATGGATCACAAAACTTGGATGCTGCTTGATTTTTTTTTTGTTCTTGTCAACAAATAGCAGACTCTCCATGGTTGCCATTCACATCAAATTTTATTTGTACTAGCTTTGATATTAAACATACATTATGTACTGCTTAATATACTTGCACCCCATACTCCAAATAAAAATACCTCACAGAATAATGAAAAGATCTTCCATGAGGGCTTGAAGTGGTCAGAAAGATGGAGCTCAAAAAGTATAAAATCCCACTACAAAAGAAATACTCAACATCAGGGACTAATTCAAGAGCATTATATCAAACAAACAACTATAATGTGTGTGTGCATGAGACAAACTAATTTATGCTAGAACCAGGGCAGAGAACTTCCAAATGACTTTCAACAAAGTAAAATCAATATTCCATTAACATCCCCTCCCCCCATCTTTGTGCTATACCTTGTCTTCTGATGGACAGAGATATAAATACTGGAATGTAGCAGTTATATTTTTACAGAATCTTGGCCCGAAAACATCCTTATCTGTTCCAAATTGATGACGAGACTGACGAACAATAGAGTCAATAACATACAATCCAGGAACTTTATATTCTGGTTTACACTGAAGAGAGAACATACCACAGTTTCTAGTTACTCAAATTCATATTTGGCATACCAAGATAAATTCTATGATATCATAAAGCAGTTCTATCAAATTGGTATTAAAAAGGTATATGTCTACGGAAGAGAAGTAAAAGTAGCTGTGTAACATAAAAGACAGTTCCTTTGCTGGAATTGGAACACCAGCGGTAATCTCTTTTTAAGATCAGACCACAGGAGCCTAGGTGCACCTCAAGCAAAGTGGATATAATCAAAATGCATTGAGGCACAGGGGCTGAGCCTATATTCAGTGGAACATGCCATATACACACCTGATAACATGTGATCCATGCCCACCAAAACTAGTGATAAACATCAGAAAATACATTCTATGCATGTATCAGCTGCATATTGTGGCAACTGTGCAGTTAAGAACACCTGGGAGATAGAGCAGGTATTTATTAAAGTTACTATGCCTAATGTGGGAGCAGACCTTTTGACAGTAATTTTTTTCTTGGTCCATAATTTGATTTATCAGTGTCAAAAACAAAACTGAATATACACATACACAATTTTATACACTGCAACAGATCAAAATGGGGAACTTGTCAGACCACAAGTCGCAGATTTTTTATTCAGCTCCACAATTAACAATCCAGTACATGATTTTAGGGAACAATTTCAACTGGAATTTTTAAAACGTAACAAAGAACAAGATTACAGTCCCTAAATCTCACTAACTTAGTAACAATTAGGTAACTGCTTGCAATCTAGAGACCTCAAAATGGGATGAGATTCACAGACATTGTGGGCCTTTTATTTATCCATCAAAGCAGCTGTCCCATCTATGCTACATCACAAGTAGCCTCCTTAACTCTTCTAAGTTTACAAAGGAGCCTAGCAAAGATACTGCTGTCTGGAAAAAGAGTACAAAAATGTGGTGGCTTGCATATGTTCCTTCAAATAAACTGAATTGTTGATGTGGGTAAACTCTGCCATTTTCTGTATCTTTAAGTCTTATTCTTTACAAGTGATCAGGAAACAAAAATATCTAACACATTTCTAGGTGACAGCACCACAATCTGGGTATCCTTAGTTTCTCCAGGTCTTACTTTTATATTCAGAATTTTTGGGGGGCATCTAGAAAAATTCACATTTAACTCTGATTCAGACTCTCTCCAAAATTAATGACAACCAAGAAACCTAAAACCACCACTTGATCAACTACTATAATCACATTTTCTGTTGTCCTCAGGGAAAAATTCTCCTATGGAAAGTGGAAGTGGTTACTATTGAGACTACACGTCATTTCGTAAGTATCATTTATATTAATTTACCTTTTTAATAAACTTCTCTACAATCTGGACTACATGTTTGTAAAGCTGAAAGAGACAAATAGCATGTTATAATCAATTAAAGGTGTTTGACACCATAAACTGTTTAGAATAATATATTATTGTGAATTTTAAGAAATACATAAAACTATATCAAATAGGTAATTCATTTCATTAAACCAATCCCAAGATACAACCATCTCTAAATCAGCTCAGCTACTGTAGGCCCCAGAAATAAATATATTTTTTAAAAAGGATACATTACTCATGTTGTAATACTTTGAATCTGAGAAAGCCAAAGCTTTATCACAAGTAGGAGTAAGTGCTTGGTATAAACCAATCCGAAAAAATACTCAATAAATACCTTACTGGTATTTATAGGTTATTTTGGTTTTGGTATTTTATTGGTATTCATCGGGTATTTTCTCAGCCTATCACCAAGGGGGCTAGAGATTTGACTATTTAGTCTTTTTCACGGCCACCAGATAGTTGCAGTTACAGGGCATTTAAAGGGCTCTCAGTCCCTTTAAATGCCTTTGGAGTAAACTCTCAGCAAGGCATTTAAACTGCAGAGTTCACTGAGCATGGTGCAACTCACACTGCAGCTTGAAGAAAGCATTTAAAGGGACAATGTCCCTTTAAATGCCTTTTCTCCCTCCACTGGAAACAATGGAGGATGGGGGCACCTTCTTCTGGGGCCCGTAGAATTGGACCCCCTGGTTCAATCTTTTTGAAACTGGTGGTGGGGGGTTCTGAGGAGAGACACCAGCAGCTATATTGCAAATTTGCAAATTAAAAAACAGCCCCCATGAGCCATACATACCCCCAGATCAATTCTCCATTATAGCCTATGGGGACCATTGACTATAATAGTCCCTATTGGGTATAATGGAGCCAGAAAAAATTGGCAATCCCGAGTACTTCCTGAATCCCAGTCCATTACCAATATTGGGATTTGAGAATATCAGGAAATATTGATATTTTGGGGTTCAATATACCCAAACCCAAAAGATACCAATTTTTTTGGTACACACCCCTAATCAGAAGGACATTTAAAATCAGTGGAAGTATAAATTTTGAAAAATAGTTTTGCAAAATTTAGAAGTAATTTACTAATCCATAGTAAATGAGACCATTTTTGCTTTCTTTGCAAGACAATGCTGCCCCAAAGGTGGGTCCTCAGGATCTAAGTATTTGCATTTCTATAGAATTGTTAATCCCTAAATATTGTCTGGATTGTTTCCAAGCTACAATGTACCTTACTAATGAGCACCTGCAGTTAGTTACCAGTTAGCTTGATAGTGGCCAGCTGTGAACTGTCAAATTAACTACTTGAGACTTCACCATTTTGACAGTTCAAGATCTAGATCAGTTAGATCAATTGACTGATCCCTGTGATTGGTCAGTCAATCAAGAACTGACAGCTGAGCTAGGATAAAGCCAGGAGTCAGGAACTACCAAAGAATGCAAGGATATTCACACAGAAGACATCAGAGAACGATGGGGAAGAACCTTCTGCATGAAGAGCTGGTAAACCTGGAGGAAGAGGTTGTCACTCTCTTCAGTACTTCTGCTTCTGTGTCAGCACTGCTGGGAAGACTGGTGTACAGGGTCAGTGTTAGTGGCTAGAGAGTCAGGTTTTTTATGTTTGACTTTGTTTCAGTGTACACACCCTTTCTCTTACTCATATGTTTTTATACATGTTATTCTTTTGTAAATAAATTTCTGATTCTGTTTTTTAAGTAACTGGAATGAGTTACTGGCCTAGAACCCAGGTTTATGGTTAAAACCAGTGCCTAGAATTACGCTACCAAAAGGCACTGATTTTTTAATTGGAACACTACCCAAATTTCCTCATACCCCATGCCAGCCTGACCAAATAAGCATTGGGGGCACACTCCAATGTTGTGACAATTACTAAAACAAGCTTTAAGTGTTCAGAATGCTGTGGAAGATAAGTCTTTACTTTATACGACATAGCAGAAGCATATCAACATCTATGGTCTTTTTTTCTCACCTTAATAGCTTTAATGGCAGCTTTAGTAATGAGAATCATCTTCGCACGAGAAATAGGAGGCTTCATCTCCATCAATGAGAAGAGCTGTGACAAGAAAATCAAAACAAAATGGTAGAATCAGAACACTTCACCCACCCTAGTCTTGATGAATATTCAGATAATAAAGCTGCCCAAAACAAATTATATAATGCATAGCAATTATTTCTGAAGTTATATTACACTTGGGTTTCTTATAGCTTGGACTGGTGGAATGAGCTCCCAGAAGAGATCAGGGCCCTGTGGGACCTTCTACAGTTTTGCAGGGCCTGCAAGACGGAACTCTCCCACAGGGCCTTCAGTTAAGGCGCTGTCACCATTAATAACACCACCATCAACATTTTAACAAGGATCATTATGATACTTGAGAAAGATAGAGCCCGTGCTCTGATTCCATCTTTACAGCCTGTACCTGCCATATATATATATCTATAAGATAAGAATGGGAAACTGATGAGCAAGGCAGACCAGAGACCACACTAATATATCGTTGCCGCCATCTCTGAGTACTAATTACAACGAACTAGCTGGCACTTTATGACATCAGATTGTGTGTATAGTTTTATATGGTTTTATCTATGTTATAATTGTTTTATGTTTTATCTTTTGTAAGCCGCCCTTACAAATATCATGGAACTGGCTACTGAATTGTGCTATGCTCTCATGAAACTAAAACTTGATGGCTACAGTATTTTACAGCTCTATCTGTAATACTGCCATAGTTTAGACAAAACAAATCACGGGTTACTGTCCTGTAAATGAGACTTGGGAATATCTGCCCAACCTCTATGTTGTACACAGCAAGTTAATTAAACACAGATCTGTAAACCATAACCAGCTGTTTCATTCCATTCACAAACTATGCTTTGTTTTCTAATCTCCAAACCCAAATAGGCAAGAGTCAGTATCAGTAGAAAACATAAAATACATCAATCTTTATCTCATTTGGGGGGAGCAGTAAAAGAATGAGAGGGGGGAAAAGCCCACTCTCTCCATCCACTATAAAACAGGGGCAACTGCCTGAAAATTTGTACTTGTGAATAACACAGGGCAAGCAGAAGAGAGGGCAACATTTGCAGCTGCAGTGGAGTGGGGTGAGCAATGACCTCTACTGTTTCTTTTTTATTAGAAGAATTGCCCATGATATATATCGATATAGAGAGTCATGCTTTCCATGTTTTCGATAATAAACAGCTATTTTAGTTCTTCCATGTTAATATGACTAGGGAATATTCCATACCGTAAACTTAAATGGAAAAGAAAAGTACGGGAAACTTAGCAATTCATAGGTCCTAATTTAATCACTTGATACCATCATCAAAATGTTGTTTTAGAGACTTTTATGATACTACTTTAACAAGTAGTTTATGATACTATACTTTATGATACTAACTTTAACATCTTTTTTAGTATGCTAGAAAAACGGTATGACATATGAACAACCAACCTAAATCACTTTCTGTCAATCTGAATTAACAGGTTATTTCAAATAATGGATTTCTGTCTCTAGATAAGCAAGTACACTGAGCCAGACCATTACTTGCAGACCAAGAGTGCAAAGCTTTCCCGAAATAGGTGAGCAAATGAGTTGGATCCAAAGGTTGTTTCCTGTCAACGTAAAGCACTTCTGCAAGCAGCACAGAACATTCCTATGCTCCCCCCCCTTCAGCCCACTGAGTGCCCCCATCATGATAACCTGGGAGATTCAGCTGGTCGGGAACAGTATGTGGAGATAAAACAGGAGTCTGCAGTGGGATAGACCATCGATAATAATCAATGTCCTTCCACTGGCAGGAAATCAATTTTTGATTCAATCCATTATGGCAGGGCTGTCCAAGATCAGAAAGCCATTTGTGCTGAGCACATAATTTTTTATAATAATGCAGAAGCATAGCCTGCTAGCTATTCAGAAATATAGATTTGTTGTAATAATACAGAAGCCATCTAAAAACAGTGAAATGAACTTTATTCATACAAAAGGACAATTACAGGCCTAGTGACAGTCACTGCTCAATTTTTATCAAGTCAATGAGAATACTGGTATTCAGGACTGGACTGAAGTTTTCTCTAGGACTGTAGGATGCATTCAGTTAAGGCGCAGCTCAACTCTAATTCCAGGTTTACATCACTAATGGTTGCTCTCAGCTTTAATGCCATTTCATGAAAGAGAATGTACTATCACAGTCACCACTTGTTCAGTCTACCCTACAGCACCTTCATGAAGGCCACAGTATTTTGACAGTCAAAGCATACGGAAGCACAGCACAATGTCTTCTCTTTTACCTGAAGCTACTGGGAAGAGACAAGGATGTTGCTGTCATTACAACCATACATCCTTCACAATGTGAAGTCAGACCATATTTAAGAGGAAATAATTATTGCTTGAAGAATCCATGTACATTTTAAGGCATTAAATTAGAGTTTACACAAAACTGAGGAAAGGTTTTGATATTCTGTCTTTAACAGTTGAGAGAAAAGATTAACCTCTTGAAATTAAAATGTACTTTATTTCAAAAACCCAAATAAGGAATTCATGTCTTGATGTACCGGCAAGTGACACGTGATCTACCTTAGCAGAATTCTTCCAGCCTAAGTGGCTCTTTTGTGGGAGAAAGACTCCTCAGACTGGAAGAAGGCTACAAACATTGGGACAGTGGAGTGGTATGCATGTTGGTATACATAACTTACTGGTAAAAGAAAAAAAATATTTTTACACATATCCTACATACAATACATGAAGACACAAAATCCTTACTCGGACTTATATGTACATATCTGTAAAATACAGTAGTAAAAAACCCCCGCAACAATCAGAATTCATAATAATGGTTTAATTCTGGTTAACACCAGTTACTTTTATCATTTATATCCCACTTTTCAGACAACTATCTCCCAAAGCAGCTCACACCAATTAAGAACATAATAAGAACATAAGAGATGCCAATGTTGGATCAGGCCAAAGGCCCATCCAGTCCAACACTCTGTATCACACAGTGGCCAGAAATACCAGTGCCATCAGGAAGTCCACCAGTGGGGCCAGGACATTAGAAGCCCTCCCACTGTTGACCCCCCCCAAGCACCAAGATGACAGAGCATCACTTGCCCCAGAGTCCCTATCTATACCTTGTAGCTAATAGACACTGATGGACCTCTGCTCCATATCTAATTCCCTTTTGAAGCCGTCCATGCTTGTAGCCGCCACCACTTCCTGTGGCAGTGAATTCCATGTGTTAATCACTCTTTGGGTGAAGAAGTACTTCTTTTTATTCGTTCTAACCCGACCGCTCAGCAATTTCATGGAGCGCCCACGAGTTCTTGTATTGTGAGAAAGGGAGAAAAGTACCTCTTTCTCTACCTGCTCTTTCCCATGCATAATCTTATAAACCTCAATCATGTCACCCCTCAGTCATCATTTCTCCAAGCTAAGGAGCCCTAAGCGCTTTAACCTTTCCTCATAGGGAAAGTGTTCCAACCCTTTTATCATTCGAGTTGCCCTTTTCTGCAGTTTTTCCAAAGCTATAATATCCTTTCTAAGGTGTGGTGACCAGAACTGCACACAGTATTCCAAATGAGGTCTCACCATTGATTTATATAGGGGCATTATTATATTGGCTGATCTGTTTTCAATACCCTTCCTAATAATCCCCAGCATAGCATTGGCCTTCTTTATTGCAGTCACACACTGTCTCGACATTTTCAGTGAGTTATCTACTACAACTCCAAGATCTCTCTCTTGATCTGTCTCTGCCAGTTCAGACCCCATCAACGTGTATTTATATTTAGGATTTTTGGCTCCAATGTGCATCACCTTGCACTTGGCCACATTGAACCCCATTTGCCATGTTGACGCCCACTCGCCCATCTTTGACAGATCCCTTTGGAGTGCCTCACAATCCTCACTGGTTTTCACCACCCTGAACAACTTCGTATCATCCGCAGATTTAGCCACTTCACTGCTTACTCCCAACTCCAAATCATTAATGAACAAGTTAAAAAGCAGTGGACCAAGTACTGATCCCTGTGGTACCCCACTGCTTACCCCCCTCCACTGGGAGAACTGCCCATTTATACTCATTCTCTGTTTTCTATTAATTAGCCAGTTTTTGATCCATAAAAGGACTTGTCCTTTTATCCCATGATTTTTGAGCTTACTTAGGAGCCTTTGATGAGGAACTTTATCAAAAGCTTTCTAGAAGTCAAAGTAAACAATATTTATTGGATCCCCCTTGTCCACATGTTTATTCACCCCCTCAAAGAACATTAACAGGTTAGTGAGACAAGATCTTCCCTTACAGAACCCATGATGAGTCTGCCTCAATAGGTTTTGTTCATCTATGTGACTACTAATTCTTTTGTTAATACTGGTTTCCACCAATTTACCCAGTATCGACGTCAGACTGACTGGCCTGTAATTTCCCGGATCTCCTCTGGAACCTCCACTTCCAGCTGCTGGATGACCTTGGGCAAGCCATAGTTCTGTCAGAGGTGTTCTTGAAAAGAGCAGTTTCTGACAGAGCTCTCTCAGCCCCACCTACCTCACAGGGTGTCTGCTGTGGGGAGGGGAAGGGAAAGGAGTTTGTAAGCCACTCTGAGACTCCAAGTGAAGGGCGGAGTATAAATCCAATCTCTTCTTCTTCTACCTCATGGGTTTTTCAGCTGCCACTAATAAGATGCAGAACCTTTAATGTAATCCAGCAGGGCCTTTGTTACATTCATATGAGATGCATTTACTGTATGTTTCCCTGAAGAAAATACCAGGAAACAAACATACTATACAGTTGGTGTGCCAGGGACAGAATTTGGGACCATGTGATTTACTCTCATTTATGACTCCTTCCCATTACCATGAAAAGTTATACCTGGCACAATAGACTATAGTCTATGAAAACTACAGACCCCCAAAATGTGACAGCCCTTGTTTGAAAAATATATCAGTCCCCCTCCATTTTGTAATAAATTATTTTTATAGGAACCTAAACTAGCCATTGTACTGACCCTTGTAAAAATATCAGCATATAAATGTTGAGAATTTCTTCCCATTTGGGAAT